GGAGAGATTAAGTGGGAGCAACAAAGGAGCACTGTTAGAATACAAGAAATAACAATCTGTAAAATTAGACACTGAGTGATACCAGTTCATCTTCATTTCTTCATGTAAAAAGTTCGATAAAATGCCCCAACAGAAATGAACACAAAGACGAGCGAACATCAGAGAATAGGCATTGCCCAAGTTATCTAACATTCGTTTCAGTTGCAGCTTCATATATGACCCGGGAATCTTGGGAATGCAGCAGTTCAGTGTAAGTCGTACTTCTTTCTGAGACATGACATTTGTCATATGAGAATGTAGAAGAAAGTGAAGGAGAATAACAGCTCCTTGAAGAACAGCAGGTGAAATAAATAAAGGAGTGGAAGACTTCCACACAATAACAGTATACTTCTTCTGATCAGAAAAGTAAGAATGCAATCATTCATTAATCTACCATCCTTCCCATTTTGCAGGGAGCTTCTCTGATCAAAGAAGCCCTTGTACAAGTCAAAGGCAAATTTGTTATCCACGAAGGCTCAACGAACATATTTAGCTACTCAGTCTAAACTAGACTGAATAATATGATGTAAGAAAACACTTACACCTAAATTACATCTACCATGTTTCTAAGCAAATTGTTTTTGTTTACTGGAAACCTTAAAATAGGTTCAGTGGTATAAGGAAGCTGTATCCGCATCAGACATATAAGAAGGGATGTAATAGCGACGGATACAAACTTAACAAATGACGATTTCAGCACAAGAACAATTCTAATATCTTTCCAAAAACAAAGATTCATTGAAAATTTCAGTGCCAGGATGAGATGAATTATGTGCATATTTTCTAAGACAGCCGTTACACTATCCAGTTCAAGAAACTGAGCAGGTTTCAACGATTGTAGGCATTTAAGCGTGTCATTTGCATGAAAACCAGAGAAGTGCATATACCCTACATTTGTATAAACAAAAATTATAATATATTCTGGACTAACTAGGCAGACCAGCATGAATTATTGAAGGATATTTGTTCAATTTTTCTTTCACCAGTGATTTCCCTAAACATATTCGACATACGTGATGAGGTTTATGATATCAATTTTGTTTGTAGATGACACTTTATCTCTGAATTTTAGTCCTGACTGAGGTTTTCGACTACCATCCCAATAATAGAAACGTGGAGCACTGACGGGTGAACGGCAGGAATTCCGACGAGATTGGATGAAAGCCAGGGATATCAACCTTTTATTGGATATCAGGTTTATCAGTCTTAGTAATGTATACGATGCATTTATTATTTTCATCTCGCAATTAAACTAAGAGGTTTTGGAATAGACGAAAGCCTATGGAGGTTATTTAGAGACTTCTTGATGAGAAGGTGGTAAACATTCTGGTTTAATGGTGTGCTGTCCAAGAAGAAGGAGATAAGTATGGTGAAAATGAGGATGACTCAACGGAAAGAAAGATGACAGAAGGAGATTCTGAGATCAACAGACACTGCACGGAATGAAGAAGTGGAGAAGAGTGCTAGGAAAGACGAAAGACAATTCTACAATACACTGTCGATTGAAGAAGAACAGTCTGGCCGCAGATAGAATACACCTCATAATATTGTGTCAGATAGAAACTAGGACTCCATACGGGAAGAGATCAAAGCAAATGATTGTGCCAATAATATATATTAAAGAGGAACTAATCAGAAAGGTGGATAAACGAAAAAAGAAGTGGACTGATCACTTCGAAAGACTTTTGAATCGTCTAACACATGTAACTCCCCCAGAAACGCCACCATCACCAAATCACACATAGAACTACTTGCCAGTGGACACTGGTCCTCCAACTAAAGCAGAAATCTTGAAGACGACCGAGCCACTGAATGCCAAAGGAGCAGCTGGGACGGAGGGAATTTCCCTTTAACCATTGACAACTGGCCAAAAGCTCAAATCAGGTGTGCTAACATCATTATTGCAAAAAGATTCTGAAAGAAGAAAAGGTGCCTACCGATTGGGAGAAAGGGTGGCTTGACAGGCTACCACCGTAAGGCGACTTATGCCTCCGCGAAAACTGAAAACAAATCATGCTTTAGTTCATGCTAGGTGTAATAATTAGTCGAATCACCTTGCAGAGAATAAACAATCAACTGGAGACAGGACATTATCAACCAGGAACAGCTAGATTCAAGAAACGCAGATAACCAGTCAAGAAAAAGCTTTCTACATATGATTACTGTTTGCCCTACAGGTTTCGCGAATGAAAGTATCGCTCATTGAATAATCAATTTGTGAAACAATGTCAGGTTTTTATATGCCTTAGAGTACCTAAACGGAACAATTCTCATAAAATAGGCACTATTGATTTCATCAATCAAACATACCGCTTATTAACACCTGAATATAGATACTATGGAGAAGATTTGTAGCTCAGGTAGATGATTTTAATACGGTTGTGTTCTTTGACCTGGGTAGTTCACTTGCGAATAGACATAAATCTCCGAATTTAAAATTGAATGAAGGCTCGTAATCATAAGTGTTAAAATGAATCATCACAATCACCGTTTCTCATGCGTAAAATACCATAAATATTGACAAATTGTGGTCCTCAGAAAATAGTCAAATTATATCTAATAAATGAGGCATACTAAAACATCAAACTAGACAATCCACTGAATAGTCCGCCTTGCAAAATTCTGTAATTCGTTATCACCCTGATAAACACCTAAAGATTCAATCTTCACAAGTATTCCCGATTACGTGAGTGAAACCGTTTATCGATTACAAAACATCATGCAGCATATCGTCTTTTTTCAAATTGTAAACACTTTGTTGTTTTTTAAATCATCAAGAAACTTACGATAAATTGGCGGTGCACTGAATCAGTGTTCATCTGAGTTTTAAATTCTTCTGTATCTGAGACCAAAACATCAGTGATGAAATATCATTATGTTTTCATTGATACTGACCAGTAGTTACAAACACAAAGATAATGATAATTAGTCATGAGAAATAGTAGTTTTCGATAAGTATTCACACTGTCTGTTGGCGAACACCAGGGATTCCACACCTTTTGGAAATCACAGAACATTTATCCTCACTTGTCCAATATAATGCAATTAACTTGACCGCTACACCATAACTCAAGGTTTTCTACACCCAGTGAACAGAGAAAACATCCGCTGGAAATATTTCAATTGCCGTTCAGAGTGTCTCCAAAGTTCTGTAATCTCTACGAAGAAATACATCAGTTCACTGCATGGCTCAATACAGCTAAATAGCATATGCTATCAAGATTGTCTGCAAATTTAAATGTTACTTAATGTCTTTACTGCTGTTCAATCAGTATTTTAGGATACGTATTCTGCTTTTCGGTAGATAATAGTAATTCAAATACTGAAGTATTCGGAACATTGAGCGTAAATTCGTCGGAATACCGGTCAGTTCTTCAGAGGATCAAAGTGATCGGTTGATATCATGAATTGATGATCATTTTATATTTATTGCACACATTAGAATAGAATTTAAGATGTGATGTATTGAGAAGTGGGAACGGACAACAAGTGAAGCTGAAATAGACTAGTTTGATCCTAAATTATCCGTACTCCATTTGGTTTGCGATAACCATCTAAATTGATGTCCTCGAAAATGTTTGACGTACATAAACCAATCTGGAGACATTTCTTATGAGAATAATGTCACTAAGTCAGTTGATATAAGTAACAATAAAATATCAAATCTGACAGGTAGCAGGATAATGTTATGCCCACCTCTCGTACTAAATCATCTTGTAGTTGATTACCACAGCCCCCACTTTGAGTGGATAATTTCATTTCACTTACGGTAATGTTTTCGCTGTCGCCGCTAAAGATTTGTGTAATGTGTACTGTATCACTTTAATGGCTAATCAGCACTTTGAAACTTTTTTTTACTTTTTTGGATGCAACATTATTTTGACTGGTTCGCGACCTTATTTCCTAAACGCTCATCGAACGCAATTCCGTTCCAGAAACAAACAATTTCAGCATCGTCTTAGGCAGTAAGTATTCCCCCCGTCCAAGTAAGTCAACCATCAGATCGTTTAGCTCAGTGAGGTTGTCCAACACTTCAGAACACGGTTTGGTTGACCTGAATCTGGCCAACAAATACAGAGTTAATATCGCCCGTCCATTTTTGCATGCATCTCTGAGGTGGCAATGGATTTCAGGGTTTCGTTTATAATGTGCTCTGTTATTATATACCCAGACAATTTGCATAATAATAATGAGATTTGGTTTCATTCCGAGTACGCAGTGCAGTACGTTAAAACTTATTAACCTTATTTTTCAGGTACGCGATGCTGATTGTCAAGTATCTTTAAAATAGCTTCAGTCATATGGAATGCCTCAAATCTTTATCAATCTCACTCAACAGCTGTAGGACAGTGGCACATTTCAGTGGATTAACAACGAAGAACTCATTGAAGTCTTGGAAAAGAAAACAGAATTAAGAGAAGCCTATTTATTTGTGATGATATTTTTAGTTGTATTGTATTGGATTATATGACGGAGTGTCATGCGAGTGAAAAAAAGAATACTCTGAACCGATATTGGGGTTCTAAAATATTTGGAATTTGCATATGATATTCGTCTAGTGTCACATAAACCCGATAATTCATGCGCAAAGACGGACGAAATGGTAATCAAGGCAGACGTTCCAACAGAACTGACAGCTATTGCATCCCATGCAATCATGATCTACTGTTTTACAGTAAAGCACATTGAACATAAAGTGTTGATGTCAGTATATTGATTTATGAACAAGTGAACTGGCATTTATGAATCATGGAGATCCACGAAACAATTGCTATGACATAACTTATATCTCAAAAAATACTAACTGCTTTCACACAGATAAAAGTGTATTCATTGCATAAAGAGTTTTATTTATTGAATACCTGCCATTTCAAAATCCTTCATTTATATATTAGAAAAATGTTGCTTGAGTTATCAGAAATCACACATCAGGCAAGCAAGTTACCAATACACTTTTTCACGTGGATGTATGATCTCAAACTGATTTGAGCTGGTTCGCAGCAACCACTATCATCTGAAAACAAGAAAAACAAATAGTATGAAAATATGAAAGTTTAACTTTCTGATTTGTTTATAAGTGATGATATGCTTGAATAAGAAAATGATATAGTGAGTATGAATAAATTGAAAAATTACCATTTGCAAATCTGGAAAAGCAACGAGTTAGGCGAATAAATGCACATTTTCCTCTTCATCAGCTGTACATAATTAGGTAGTCCAGAAATCAAAATTACTACATTCATGCTAGCTAGTCCTCGTGGATTCTGAACATCACATTTACATTGAAAGGGCGTTTAAACTTATTTATCATATCTATCACATACTATCTAACCTTCCACATACTCCACAAATACGACATCTACTTACAGTGAATGAAAATGGAATTCATATGAACAAGCAAAATCTGCGTATTCAAAAGAAATGTGTGGCTCCCCATTCATGGCTATGGCCAACTTCATAATACGTAATAAGTCTTACTTACGATTCTCCACTCCCCGTGTTATTTTATTCCAGCTACAACCACAGGTTATTCAATCAACGTGCTTTTGTCGTAGTATTATTTCGTGATTCTATTTGGTCATTCTGTTCTTCCTAGTCACCATTATTCTAGAAATTTCACCACTACAAAAGAAGTCTTGTTGTAACACCTTACGAGTATGTTTATCTTGTATAACCGTATTACGAACATCCCTCCATCAAAATTTTGACATCGTTTTACTAACATCAACTAGTTAATTATTATAGTGTTTCCGAGAACATCCCTTTGTTCACTTAAAACCGTTAATTCCTATTCACTAAAATAAATACATACTTGGTATAAATTTGATGAACAACTACATACAAAAGTTTAGAGACAATGACAAGGAACTATTTGAAGAACAAGAATATATCATTGCTCAGTTTGTGCTCTTCAAAATAAAATATGTTTCAGATTTAGTAAGAATGCTACCAGTCTGTCATTCCTCCAAGCAATTCCGAGAAAGAGATAAGTTTGAACTTACCAAACACATGGAGGTATTGAGAAAGCCGCCAGCCATCATTTTGCACAGGTCCTACAAAATAAACATTGAATCTCGTGAACACTGGATGCAACCAAGCAGAATAATTCTAGGAGTTCTCCTGTACATTTGCACTCGGTGTTACTGAGTGGTAAAATTCAGAGCAACACAGATAATATAAATTAGAATAACTGTGTATTCACGAGATAAGTTAAACTTCTGCTATCCAAATGAAGACATCTTCAGCATTATTTCCAGGAATAACAGTGACTAATAGTAACTAAGGAGACGAAGTGTCGCTATAAATCTACAAGTCAGCATTTTTCTTGGTCGAATTTGATGCACAAATGTTTGATTCCTACGTTATATTAGCCACAATGAGTAAACGACTTAAAATGAAGTTTTTGCATACCATATAACCTGCATGCTGTGCAGATTTGACGAAATTGATCCAAGTCACTAAACTACCACCGAACAAAATTTTGTGTGGTCTATTCACTTCACACCAAATAGAACTGACTGGCTGTAAACTTCAGATTTTTTTCCTTCCTTCACTTTCCCCAGTGGAACATAGGGCTTCAAGCTAGTGGCTTGAAGTTCCTGTGGCAGTATTTATTTTTACAGAATAAGGTTGCTAGCTTCATGTCCAACCTTTCCTCTTTACCAGCCTTATTTATGGCTTAGCGAGGTGAAGGAGTGCGTCGGCTGGGGATCAAACCCCGGACGGTTCGGCGAGCGTCCTAACCACTATGCCACCGACGCTAATTGCACTCTAAACTGTAAACGAATCGTAATACTACTGGTTGCTCTCTCAACCGCGTCATATAACGTTCATACATGTTCCCCTTAAATAGTACCGTTTTTGAATCTTGTAATGGCTGCCAGTCTCTTGATACGCCATGTGGGTAGAAGGATTTTCTATTGTTGTGGACATTCCATTTTATGGATATTCTCGTATGCCACCACAAAGAAAGTATAAGTTATCCATCTTTGTCTTCCCCATGTTATCAATCTTTGCTTTCACCATGTTGCACTCAACTACACGTCGATTTTGCAATGAATTTCGGATAAGGAAGTCTGGCAGGATACTCAAAAACGACATTGAATAGATCATTTTGCACCCATGATGATTTCAACGATTCACACATTTTCCTTCAGTGAAAAAAACGTCGTTCATTTAAACGGTTTTCTAACTAGCTGATAGTAGATGAAATTAATTCGTCTTTCTAAGACTGGACACTTCCAATACCATTAACTTCCATATCACGTTTAGTTATGAATACCATCGCACAGAGATTAAGAATCGTTTACCATATGACAATGTTTTGTTTCCCTCATCCATTGTAATGTGAATGTTTCGAGTAAAAGGAATGTGGGGAATCGTGGATATTTGATATTCGATGCAAACTGTGAAATGACCACAGCCGTTCAACAATAAACGTCGATGTGTAATAAATCATTTGAAAATTCAACTAACTCACCTCATACCAAGGTATGAACGTCAAAACCACCAAAAATACCGCACAAATCATCGATAAAACCGCCAGTACGATAGCCACAATTATTTTCAATCTTCTTCTCATGAAGAATATAATAATCATCAGTAAACCTTCCAGTATAGTGAACATGAATAGATATGAACATTTTAAACAAATGACTTTGCAGTCTACCAAGCAGACTTCTGACGACCATAGTAAAAGCTGTTGACAAAATTAATTTAAAAAAGTACAAATTAATGAAACAAATTAATTGGTCTTCATAAATATTATGTTTAATCTAATTACAACCTCATTCAGCATGAAAAAAATATGCTATATCGGACTTCACAAGAATCACTTCCTCTCAGTCACGTTTGCACAAGACTCGATTCGTCGGTGGAGTCTCGTGACTACGGATAAAATATGCACCTGCTGATAATATACCGATTTGGCATATTTTATCAGTGGACTACCGAAACTGGTGGCTATAGTTGAGTTGCTTTACTGACTCAGAAATCTATCATGTTTTTCGATTGCAAATTTAATGATGCTCAGACTTGTATTCTATTATTACAAGACACGCACACACTATGGATGATTTTGGACAAAAGTTGTCCACTGCTACGTGCTTCCTTGTCTGAATAAATTCTATATTTCAATTTTATAGTGAGATGGTCGCTATAAGCGAAACAATCATTAATAAAGAAACTGGCCTTATTAAGTTGACATTCAGGAGAACTTACCAATATTGCAAGGAATATTCGTTCAATTCTCCAGTTTATGCAGTATTTGAGGGACAGTATTAAAACGATGACGAAAAGAAGTGCTCTGAAATCAAATTTGAAACTGAGGAGTGAATTTCAATGGTGTAATTTATCAGCATGTATATCTTTCCGTAGTTTTATCACTGCACATCAATTATTTCTATGGTCTATCACACAGTGTAGAAGGATTATTCGTGGAACTAATTATGTAACAGAATACATTTCTGGCCATCACGTTATCTCACGCTTCAGGCTAACTGATTGTTTTTCATCTAGTTGAACAATGTGCATGTAATCACTGGTTAACATAAACGCATATAAAAGTAAATTGCATAAATGGCTTTTATCACTCGAATATAGTAGAACGTGGAACTCACATGCAAGTGACTGCTTCAACTTACCACAATTTCATCGCAAAATATTTCTCTGATCTAAAAAACAAGAAATTCATTATAAGTTTCATGAGAAACGATATTTCTGAGGCTTTGTTTTGAAATGGCTGATCATTCGCACTCATACAATGTCGAATTCGGACAGTTCACTCAGTTGTCAATGTGTTTGTCACTATTTATACTATTTTAAGCATGAAATCACAGCGTTATATTTTTTATTTTATTATTGGTTCAGTGATGCTTTCATGTGAACATCTTCTATTCAACCAAGTCTCTATAAAGTTTAAAACTAGTTGTTTATTTCATATATATATACATATAATATATCGAAATATTTTACAAACACACACCCCTTAAGTGAAAGAAGGCTACTAATATATTCGGAATTTCCTTAAACGACAACAAAATTATATTACTGAAAATCCAAAGAAGGTGGATAACTTACTAGTGAATAAAGTATGATTCACCTCTAAACGTCAGACTATTGATATGCGAATAATTCGCTCATGTTCAAATGTATCCATCTCATTCTTTGAAACTTTGGTCCAAATATCCAGACAAAAACGTTTAGATATAATATTAACTCAAAAAATAAAACTTGATACAATGTACTTTAAAATTATGAAATGTAAAAAATGCATACAAACATAATAAATAATGACTTCAAGTACATTCGTAATTGTTCTGAATTTTCCGTTATTTTGATTGGTTGCTCATCGCATCACCGCATACCCGCTGAACGAACTTACATGAAATGTTGCTATACCTGTTGAAATGTGTCAGGTTTTTCCCTAATAAAATCCATAACCAAGTCTCTTTACTTCTGACGTTAAATTCGAAATATGGAAGCGCTATTGACATTCCAGTTAAAGATTTCACTCAGCCTCGAATATCCCTATGAGTCAATCTCAAAATGAACAGTTCTGTTTTAGGTATTTTGAAAATCCATGGACAGTATAATGAATAAGATCAAAATATCTACAGCTGATTTACCACATCGAATGAAGTTACTCCTTGTTTGTAAAGGGAAAGATTTACCCCATTTACGAATAATTATTGAATAGTGAGAACTGAGTGGCTCGAATTATATTGCCTCCAACCGGTGTCATTCTCAACATTTAAGCAGTTGTATTTATTTAAAGTAGATGCGTTTGCTATTGAATCCAACATAGTAACGGAGGTTATTAAAATTGATAATAATTTTCAACTTGATATGAATGTTTGAATCTGTGAATTTAGACTACAGAAGGCATGGAAACAAAATAATATACGATTCGAAAATGACTGGGAAAATGCAAAACGAGTGCCGCTGTAGACATTATGAGCATAGAAGATAATTGATGACAGGAGACTTAATGTCACAATAAAAATTTTCGGAGCTGTAAACGGCACAAACTACACTAACTGATGTGATAAACACTATGAAAATGAGGAATGGGAAAAAAACTTAAAACTTTTCCAAATTCATCTAAACCACATAATGGAAACCCCTACTAAAGCTACTCAAAGTGGAGACGACAATGAATACAACCTGAGAGACATTGAAGGTACATCGACTATCGACCAATGTGAAAAAGAGAATAGGCAAAAGTTTTACCTGATTAGATATACTCACACATGGAACAAACTACCAATGGGAATGAGGCTAGCATGCACATTAACCTGCTTTCAAAAGATACCAAGTGAACAACTAAAAGAATTTACAAGCAATATTAATACCGATTCCCGTGTAAGCGCTTCAGAAATCATGGGTATATTCAATGTGTTTGTTTTGCCTCTATTTATAATTTCAGACAATAAAGCAACAGTCGAGACATAATCTCTCAATTAAATAAGATACCCTTTCATAACGTCTACCTGATACAAAAGTGAAACAAAGCAGACACGCGAGTGAAGTATAAGAAAACAAAGGAATAACATGCTTTAGTTTCGCATAGAAGGATATGAGATTCATGGACAATATTTTATCAATAATTATGAGGAATTATATAAATTCACGATTCCCGTTGATAAAACTCAAAGCCTGAAACCTTCTCAAACTTCGAGTAAACGTTGGATGGTTGTAGACGTTCACGAAATAATACATTTAAAGAATACATTTAATGGCCCTGAACACATCGATACTTTGCTGACTACGTTAAAATTTCAGAGTAACCAAACCCCACAATAAAGGGAATTAACCAAATCCGCACTGTAGACATGATGTAATACTCATCCAGATACTCATCTATATGTTGATAAAGCTGATGCATCTAAACCATAAGATATACAGGGCCAATAAACCTGGACATCCAAGCAAAAGTGAAAGTATACTGGGTGTAGCATTAGAATTCTCACCAAGTAATTCGATAGTATCATTTAGTTCCAGAATTCTCCACTCGTCAATTTTCAATAGTTCGCAAATATTTGGTTGCTCGCCGAGTCTAAACTAAACAAAACTCACCTGTCGCCTAATAATTTCAAATTATTATTTCTTCACATATTTAAGTGGGCACTAACTGCTGTGGTGTCCCGCTTGTGGATTACATTGCCGAAAGCATTATTGTCGACCAACTAACCAAAGCTTTACTAGCCATTTTGACAATTTTGTGAAAAGCCTACCGTATCTATCACATATAAGACAGCTTTCAGTTGTTACGCGCGTTTTCACCGAATTCAAACACTTATTAAGCCTAGGAATATATATATATATATACGTCACGTAAATTGATTTTAGCAGTCTGAAGGGTGCGTCGGTGGTATAACGGTTAGGACGCTCGCCAACCATGCACATGGTCCGGGGTTCGATCTCCGGCCAACGCACTCCTTCACCTCGCTAAGCCATAAATAAGGCTGTAAAGAGGAAAGGTTGGGCATGAAACTAGCAACCTTATTCTGTAAAAATAAATACTGCCACAAAAACTTCAAGCCACTAGCTTGAAGCCTTATGTTCCACTGGGGAACGTGAAGGAAAAAAAAGTCATCAAAGTGAAATCATGCCATTACCATACCATATATATGTATCCAATGTGAGTGAATAATTGTAAATATGCTTATTATACATATACAAATCTCATATCAAATTGATGACGTCCGTAAACTGGTGTCCTTTATGTACAAAAAATAAGAATATGTATTATTTTTACTATCTTTTGTAGTTGAAGATGATAAAAATAATGGGAGGGGAACACAAAACCATAGAAAACTAAAAGGACAAGCGTATCAAGACTCCTAACTTTCTTTTTATTGTAACCTCATCCCCCTCACTCACGTTTTCATCCCCCTTTATAAACACCATTGTTGAAATGATGTCTAAGCACTTCCATTTCACACGTATCTCTCCCGAAAAGAACCAAATAACTGAAATATTCTAATGCCTTTTTCCCAACGATTTGAAAAAGAAGAAATATCCTCATGCAATTAAAAGTTATCACCATCTGCCTTACCTTAATTTATTAATTTCCTAATGAGAAGAAACTTTTTATTTATAGAAGAAATCTGTCACGAATCTACTTCTGAGTAGCCTGCTTATATCACTGAGTCACCCCGTTTGACATTGAGAAAATAACTCAGAATTCACCAAGTTTTGTTGTCTAATTTGTACTTCAGTTAAGTTCTTGAGTAATAACCGTTACTCATTCGTATCATTTTTTTTAAATTTCAGATTGCTGTTATGCCTTCATCAAAACTGATGAGGGAAGAGTATTCCACGGAGAACGCTAAAATTTCATCAATTTAAGTCAGCACATTGTTCAAAATGAAGCTAACAAGATTATCGTAGTAGCTGAATTTCTGCTATGTAGAACATCACAAAGAATAAATGTCAGTCGTGACATATCGCCTTTATTTGAGTGTGATTGGGATAACAGCGTCAAAACTGATCAAGCATATCGACAGCGTTGAAGTCAACAATTTCACTAGTTTATTTCATCCCCAGTTATAAGTGACTACTGATCATCGTGGAGTACAAGAAAGTGAAGGTGAAACAGCAGAAGACAAGAGATGGAAGTTAAGGTATATTTTCAATTGATAAAACAGCCATTCATATCTATGCAGTTTACATTCTTGAACTAATCACTGGGCGTGTGACTTTGATTAGACGACATGAAACAGAATATTCAGATATCTAGTGAAATGTGGGACAGGTATTCTGACTAAAGCAACGAATACGATGTTCAAATACATACAGTATTCTGTTGCTAATGTAATACTGAACTGAGGAGATACGGGAGAATAATCATCCGTTGCAATGCACTGCCTGCATTACACCGGCACAAAGGAAATGATGGTGGCAGATATGACGAATGACACACAGTCGATAGAACTTTTCAAAGAATAGTAAGCGACATGAAGTGATTATGCCCGAATAACACCGCACTGCTTTATCACCTAAATAGCCAGCAGTAAATGATCGCATAACACTTTATTTAATTGGCTTTTAAAAGCATCCATTTTTGTTACAAGGTTTCTTTTCGTATTACCAAGTGCATATACTTTATTCGAGAATTCCTCACTGAAGTTGGATTACTTTGCATTCCTTATTAAATGTCTACCTGAATTCCACACCATTTCTTCACAGACTTATTCATATATTTATGCAATCGTTTCATTCTCGGAATTCAGTGGCTAAGGATGATTAGGAAAATCAACAGTGACTCAAAATCTTAAAAAATATCATTCATATCTGAGGAAATTGCTGCGCCTAGTTGAAACTGAAAGTGATGGCACACAGCCATGATTTTTATTTCAAAAAACTGGAAATATGAACCAACTCCTGTTCATGCCAAATGGAAAGTGCTTGTTTGTACAAAACACGAATTACTGTTGAAGTCGCTAAATACAATACAAAGGAGATAAGTGGCGTGAAACGTATTTCAGAGAACTGGCAAATACGTGTGCTATATTCTAGGAACACAAATTAAAGTGCACCATGAAGGTACAGAGATTTGATTACATGTATGTAAATTTGTTAATTTGCTTCTTGGATAATTATATCCGGTCTGTTACTTACACTTGTTATGAAATGCAATAACATAACATAAGATAAGCTTTATTCCAAATCAGTACTTGTGATACAGAATGGAATTCTCAGCATTTTACTACAATATTGCATCCAGTTTTTACATTAACAATAAATAAAGTTCTACATAGATTAAAGTTATCTCAACAACATATTAGTATGTCGGTAGCAAAGCCAAAATTAAAGTGTTTGAAGGTGTTAGAAAAGTAGATACTACTAGCATATTTACTGGTGTAAGCGATAGCAAAATGGTCGATATATACAGAGTCTGAAAGAACGAACAAGAATGTTTTAAGTAGAGTTTGCAAGGAAGAGAGAAACAAAACAGCACATAACAAAAATAAATACAGAATGAAGAGCGAGAAAACGTTGTACCTATAAATGATGTGAGTTGGATAGACGAGATCCATAGGTTCTACTGACTATTTAATAAGTTAAAGGTTTCATGCCTGATGCATTCTTTATCGCACAGAACACGGGCTAGGTAGGGTATGGATGAGTTTTTGTACTTACTAGTGCGGGCATATAGTTTCCTATATAGGCTTCTTGTTTTCCCTGAAGAGATACATGGGGAGAGTTGTGAATGTAGAGGGTGTTGTGAGTCAGATAAAATGGATTTCGCCCATTTTTCACAGGAGTCCATATGCCTGTCCACCAGAATATTAACAAGCTGGCTAAGTGGCAAACTGCTTACCCTGCTGACAACCTTTAACATCCTACGTAATAAGGTATAGTCTTTCTTCAATAGCCCAGGAAAGACTAAGGGGGAGCAATAGAGAATAATAGGCAGAATACGGGAGTTAACAAATTGTAGGAGTAAGGGTTGGGTTACACCAGAATGTCTTAACTTCTTGATGTAGAAGGTAAGACGGTATATTTTCTTGGAAATCGTCAAGATATGAGACGACCAGGAAAGATCAGAAGATAGAGTGACGCCTAGGTATTTAATTTCCGATTTGGTTTCTATTTCACTGCCATCTATGTTGCACACCTCGTGAGTGCTAACCAGTTTGTTTAGGTCAGATTTATGCCTAAGGGTGAAATTAACTGTTTGGCATTTGGAGGGGTTTAAGGTTAGACCGTTTTCCTTGGACCATTGGCTAATTTCCGATAAGAAGCCATTTAGTTTAGAGCAGTCACTTTGACATTTGACAGGTAAAGATACAGTTAGGTCATCAGCATATTTGACAAAGTTAATGTCATTTGAAGACGGTAGGTCATGTAGGAAGAAAGAAAAGAGAAGTGGGGAGAGTACAGCACCTTGGGGGACACCAGCTTCTGTGAGCACAGCAGAGGAGGATTCGCCTTTGTATACGGTGTACTGCATTCTGTTTGAAAAGTAGGAATGCAACCAGTTAGTGACCCAGGACTCGGTTTGTGTCATGGAGAGCTTAATTAGCAAGAGACTTCTAGGTACGGAGTCGAAAGCAGAAGTAAAGTCAAGAAACGTGCAGCGGACATATTTGGCACCTTTGTCTAATGATGAGGCAATACTGTTGTGTAAGACGGCTGCAGCGTCTAAAGTACTCCTACCCTGTCTGTAGGCAAATTGTTTGGGGTCTTCGAAGCTTTTAAGGGAGGGTTCGAGTTTAAGAAGTACTAGTTTTTCCATGAGCTTTAGAAACGGGGAAGTGATGGCGATGGGTCTGAACTTTACGTTCTTGCTATTTCCAGGTTTAGGGACAGGGACTATTTTAATGTCTTTCCATGGAACAGGTACAACGTTTTCGGAAAAAGAAGCATTTAGGATATTAGTTAGAGGAAAACATAAAGCATCTGCACATTGTTTAAGAACATATGCAGGTATGCTATCAGGGCCAAGACTATGTGAGGGCTTAAGAGTTTTAAGACATTTCAAAACATCGAGAGTATTGAAGTCCTGGAAGTTATCAGCTACAAGATTAGTAACGTTAGAAGTGGTTATAGTAGAAGGAGAGCGTAAAAAAGACAGATTAAGAGCATTAACATCACAAGAGGGAAAAACATTACATCGCTTACTTTTGCCAGTAATTTCATTGAAAAGTTTCCACATGCTATTAGGAGATTTGCATGATAAAAGTGTTTGGTTATAGATAGCATTAAGATTTTTGATTTCAGATTTGATTTGAGCATTAAACTTTTTAAGACCTGACTTGTCTTTGCATTTATATGACATTTCTTTTTGCCTGCGAAGTTGTTTGAGACGGGGAGACGAGAAGCGGTCGAGGCGTTTGAACAGTGTTTGTTTGGGACAGCATATGTCAAGGCAGAACTTAAGATAATCCATTATATTGGTGATTGAGTCATCTAATGTACTTTCATAGAATAGATCCCAGTTGGTATCTTTTAACATGCATCTTAGATTGAGTAAGTTGTCAGATGTGTAGCATCTTTCTTGTGCTTTCGTAGACAGGTGTGAGAAGATTTTAATATGTGTTTTGCTGTATATTTTTGGCAAAACACGGACAATGCAGGGATCTGAGTTTAGTATCGGTGAACGTCTACGTGTTTCATATACTCCTTCGTCATTAGTAAAAGCTAGATCGAGTGTTTTGTCAAGTCGAGTGGGAAATTTGACTATGTTTGTGTGACCAAGAGCTTCAAGAAAGGAGCATTCTGATGTGTTGAAGTCCCCAGTAATAACGGATAGAGAGTTGTCGAAGTTGGCAGCAGCAAACATGGTGAATTCATCAGCAAAATTAGATAGATCAGACGGAGAGCAGCTAGGAGCAATGTACATGTTTGTAATATAGATTTGTTTATATTTGGGGAGATGTTTGGGGCGATATTTGACAGTAATACAGTCAATGAAGTCATTTGAGAAGGTGAAGCAGACGTTATTTGAGACAGACCATTTGGAGTGAATAAAAGTTGTAACGCCACCATCATTTTTCTTATTACAACATTGGCGGTCTTGACGAAATAAAATAAAGTCCTTTAATGAGATAAGATTATCATCATACAGTTCATGCAACCACGTTTCTTGTAATGTGATTATAGCGGTATTATGATAAGTACCAGTGGACATCAAGGATTGTAGGTACACTATCTTGTTTGGCAGAGAGCCGCAGTTTGTGTTCATTATGACGGGGACCGTAGTTAAGTGTATTGGTGTACGTTTGAGAGCTCTCTGCCAACCACTACGATGTTTCCTTCTTGGTTTCTTTGGAATATGAAAGTCATTTAGTCGTAAATCATTAATAAAGTTACGAGAGTAAATGATTCTGTTAGAATTCATATTTAAGTGATAAATGTATGCTGGTAAACAGTAAACTGGATGCAAAATGTAGATATTTTGGTAGCAGGCCCAAAAATTCGAACAGGCCGCCAAGGTCAAGTGATAAAAATATTTGTGCGGCTTAAGTGAGATGTTGATCACTATACCTTTTTCATCGAATCTACGCCTAATAATGTGCAATATGAAAGAAGAAATATTAATGCCAGATATATGGAAATATCATGATCAGTAAGTGCAAAGAATACGAAATAAGGAAATTATGTAAACGTGGTTCGAAAGTTACTTTAATCATTAACTTGATATAATTATGTACAGTAGATTGTGTTCGATATGACATCGCTAAATTAGGCTGTTTTATTGGCTGCTTTGATCGAATAAGTTAATTCTGAGATGCAAAATCACATTTACTTCAGCCTTCCAGGCATTGAGAAGGAAGTAGTGGTGTGATGGACGAATTTTCTCTCTTTATTTACTTTGACCCATTTCTACGCTAACTTGCAGTAATATATTTTGTCTCGCTTCCTAATACTACTGGTTGTGTGATTGGTTTTACACTGAATATTGCAATTCACAGAATAAACTTTATTTTAAATTAAATCCAGCCAAATTGTGGAATCAATTATCACGCACACTAAACGTGTTTACTAATTTCAGTGTTTATTCAGTATTAGACTTTGAATCTCGCCATTAATAAACGAAATATTTGTTGAATTCACATATAGAGTAAAAGTCCTAATTTTATCAGCTGACAATAACTGAAAAACGCTTTAAAAATTTTTTAGAGTACACAGTTCTAAATCGACGAGACTGTGAGGCTAACTCAGCCTATTGAATAAGTGGAGAGTAGTGAAGTAAACAAAATAAGCCCTCACATTATAATTTTCATCGCCTGAAAATTTCTATATTATTTCGCTGCTTATTGTAATTAGCGTTGAACAAATTCCATTATTCAAAAAAATAAAAATAAATCTACTTTTCATAAGTGATTTGAGAACTATTTCTTTTGTAAACATTGAGATGTTAGCTCAAACGATTTGATTGTTCGTGTTCTTTTTTACAGTATAGTGTAAATAAGTAGTCAGTAGGAATCAACCATTGCCACAGTGACAAAAGTTATCATACGTATATCCTGTGCTGGATATTTTCTGCCGAATTTCGAATTTGTCTTCGTATTTTACTATGGAAATATGAATCACTTCACGTTCGGTTTTTAGTCTGGAGATTTCTAGATTATATTCCTTTCAAAAAGAAATACTCATATCCACAACTATTCTTTCTCCTTATCATTCATTTTCCTGCAGCTGAAACGAAATAAAACCTGAAACCGGGTACAATCCAGTTGAAAGTAGACACATATCTTGTACAGCAGAAATTATTATCGACAATGTTAATCCAACTGACCAGTACACTAGTCCTCAGGCAATACTTCCAGTGAATATTGAAACACAGATTAAGTGTGCACATTATCTGGTTGATTCCAAGTGACAATTCTCCTCACAGGAATCAGCTGTGCAAAATACCTTCTGAATTTAGGATCTTACCAACGGTTGTTAAAACCGTTTTATTTGATGCAGCCTCTAATTGAGATCAAGTGGCAGGTTAGCCAAAAGATCAATCATGACATGCTTGTAAACTGGTGAGTAATCAAGAAATGAGAGTGAACAGAAGTTCAGTGTTACTTGTTTCTCAAGAATTCATCTAGTTGATTCATAATCAATTGTTCAGTTTGTTAAATATTTGAAATACGTCGAGGATCTAGGTGGGAACTCACTTCAATAATACCACTTGGCATCTTCCTTCATTTCAGCCAGGGTCCACTTCATTCTATCTTCTGGGTTTGAACTAGACAGTTCTAAATCTTTCAATATTTCAACTTACACTTTAGGAATTCAATCCTCGTCACTTCCAATACTCTTATTTTGTCCCGTAATTCCTCTGAAACAGTGACCAGGTTGTCAGTGATGTCCCAGTAGCATTTTCAAATTTATGCTGCAACAATATGAAATAATGTTCAAATCTCAGGATGCTCGATCATGACTACATGACATGAGTCATGTAGTTTCAATGTAACTGTTATTTTGAACTTAACCACGTGTATCATAAATGCTCTTGGCTTTATTCCCTGGTGCATTGATGAACTCACTAAAGCTCTGTTGGAGTAGTTTTGTGTGTCTCGGTAATATAAAAATAATAATAATAGCAGTAAACGTGACGCCCTTGCGTATAGATAGTTAGGACTTAATTGTCATCAAATGTCCAACAGTTTGTAGATTCTAATAATAATGTGACAAGTAATATTACTGATTTTATCAATAATACAGCCCAATTTGGTATAAGTGAATACGATGATTCGACACATCATTACCCATACAGGCTTCTTTTGTGCCGTACGAAAATGAAATTCCCTGAGAAGTGTATTCATCACTTGAACTATGAAATATCACATGAGATCAAGCCAAATAACCATTTAAAATTACTTGTGGCACTGGTGAAATCAGTACGAGCCTTCTGATACAATTCCGTAATTTTAGCGGCATACAGGTAGTCTGAAAGCAATAATAACTTGTTACCAAACTCATCATCGCAAACGTACTTGTCATTTTTGAACTAAAATACCTCATACAAATACATTCAATATGGAATGAGATTTATGTAAGTAATACGCGCCCTTTGTATTTTCATTTTGGTGAGTAAATTCCTACTTTTAATTGTCGTCTGATTGGTGTGCCCTCTTTACCTTCTCATGATCTCCAAACTGGAGATATCCAAGAACACGTAGCTGTGAATTCAAAATGTCAAGTGTGTTGATATTTGTTCATTGAATGATGGCTTGTTGACGATCAAACATTTCGTTATTTGTGTCACTGACCTAGTCATCTTGATCCAATTATGATGATGTCATTCTCTGGTAAACATGAAGTTATGAAGTTTCTTCTCGAAGAGGTGTCATTATTTTCAATCAAATATGAACTGCATGGAGCTTGATGATGAATGCATTTTTAACTTCAAGCAGGGTAAACATGTTTGCTCACCACTTGTATATCTTCTATTCTTTGCATTTCGGAAAAAAATCTAAGTAACAATGAAACAATCATGTGATATGAATATGAGAGAACAGTTGCCCTAGAAACGTCATCCATTTATAAATACTGTGACAATATGTGTTATATTCACTGAACAAATCTCACATTGAATTAAATTCTTTCACAGTATTAACTAGTCCACTTCTACAGTCAACATCATCTTCACGTGGTCTACTCTTCTGTCTACTTTCCAATGTAAAGCAAGGTGGAAGTCGATCTTGGCTCCACGTCATTTGTACAACTGAGTGAAAATTATGGAATAGTTGGGAAAAATTATGTTCGTCAGACGTCTGTGTGTTGATGACTAATTAAACGCATCTACTTTTCACACATAATTATCACCACGTTCGTCAAATGGTGAATCGTAATAGGCTTGCCATAGCTTTATTGGACTTTGAATTACACTGATCAAATTGATGAATATATGCACTCACTTAAAGTATCTCTGTATACATGAGTTGTCCTGTCTGCTGCCGTTTCCAGCACTTTAAGATTAGCTAAAAAACAAGAAAGATTGAGTGATATTTAAAACGCTGATTGAAAAACTTCAGTGTCATACTTATCATCGAACTGAATACAACATATTGACGATCCCAAAACGTGTCATAATAATTTGATTATTTCTTAACACGTTCTTTCTAACCACACAGTAAACATATCAGTTTTCAAAAGTTTAGTCTACTTCTCACGAAAAGATTGACGACTGGTTGGTGGTAAAACTGGCCTTCCGAATATTTCTGAAAAGATTGTACTGGTGGAGAAAAAGATATCTAATACAAACTAGTTAATATATGTTTCTTAAAAATAAGGGTACAGCTCACTGTGAGGAAAATAATTAGTGATATTTTATAACACCTGCTTATAATAAATAAATACATTCGTTTTATCTCAATCATCTCACATTTGAGACGTCTTCTTCTTCCTCCTACTCGATGAATAAATAATCAGTCGGTGGGTGTGTCGGTGTTCTCGGCATTGTTGGTGGTCGTGTCGACGCCGACAGCTCGATTCTCCCACTGACGGAAACTCGCATGCAGCCATCATGTTGAAATTTCCCCGCCTTTCAATCTGTCAGCTTGTTAGTCCTTTCGTTAATGAAGAATAAGCGAGTGAATGAGTAGTCAGCAGTTTAGTGTAGAGTCGATTGCAGAGAGTCGACTTCTCAATAATTACCTGAGCTAGCCAACCAGCCAATCAGCCAGCCAGCCAACCAGGCAGCCAGCCAGCTAGGTAGCTGTCTAGTTGTTCAGATAGTGAAGCACTCACTCTCTCGGTTTGGTTAACGTAATTTAACTGAGTGGCACAATTACTTAGTTAGTTATGCAGTGAGTCACTTACTCATTCGGTCTCTCAGTGAACCAGCCTTCAACTCGACAACAACAACAACAACTACAACATACAATCAAACAAACAAGCTTTCTCACTCACGATCGCAAATTCTATATAGTCAAATTATCATGAAATCAGTCGTTGAAGGAGAATGGATGTGTGACCAGCATACACAGACAAACGGATAGACTACATATAGAAGGACTGACTGACATACAGCCAGACAGCACGAACACCACACTCACGAACAAACATACAAGCGCAAACACACTCACGCTCACACTGCCCAAGAGTTAGTCGCCTTCCTTCACGTTCACATACACTGCAAACAAACACAGACATACACAAACACACACATTGCAAGACTCATGTCCACGAACCAGTATCAGACAGACAGCTATGCAACAAGGACAGTCGCGTGAAATCAAGACAACCACCAATCGATCTCACTTGAATCACCTCACCTACAACATCTCGTCACACTGGATTTCTTTCGTGTCAACCCGAAACTGGCTGGCTGGGCCACACATTCTGTTGTTTGTCTGTCATCGCGATTGAGATCTCCTTGAATCGTCGTCACCATCATAATCATGATTACCATTAAAGTGCTGGAAACGGCAGCAGACAGGACAACTCATGTATACAGAGATACTTTAAGTGAGTGCATATATTCATCAATTTGATCAGTGTAATTCAAAGTCCAATAAAGCTATGGCAAGCCTATTACGATTCACCATTTGACGAACGTGGTGATAATTATGTGTGAAAAGTAGATGCGTTTAATTAGTCATCAACACACAGACGTCTGACGAACATAATTTTTCCCAACTATTCCATAATTTTCACTCAGTTGTACAAATGACGTGGAGCCAAGATCGACTTCCACCTTGCTTTACATTGGAAAGTAGACAGAAGAGTAGACCACGTGAAGATGATGTTGACTGTAGAAGTGGACTAGTTAATACTGTGAAAGAATTTAATTCAATGTGAGATTTGTTCAGTGAATATAACACATATTGTCACAGTATTTATAAATGGATGACGTTTCTAGGGCAACTGTTCTCTCATATTCATATCACATGATTGTTTCATTGTTACTTAGATTTTTTTCCGAAATGCAAAGAATAGAAGATATACAAGTGGTGAGCAAACATGTTTACCCTGCTTGAAGTTAAAAATGCATTCATCATCAAGCTCCATGCAGTTCATATTTGATTGAAAATAATGACACCTCTTCGAGAAGAAACTTCATAACTTCATGTTTACCAGAGAATGACATCATCATAATTGGATCAAGATGACTAGGTCAGTGACACAAATAACGAAATGTTTGATCGTCAACAAGCCATCATTCAATGAACAAATATCAACACACTTGACATTTTGAATTCACAGCTACGTGTTCTTGGATATCTCCAGTTTGGAGATCATGAGAAGGTAAAGAGGGCACACCAATCAGACGACAATTAAAAGTAGGAATTTACTCACCAAAATGAAAATACAAAGGGCGCGTATTACTTACATAAATCTCATTCCATA